CTCTCTCAAATAAATAAATAAATAAAATTAAAAAAAAATAAGGCCTTCCTCTGCTGATGAGAACCAACCCAGCCCTAGCCCTGCATCCCGGGAGTGCAGCCCACACCTTGATTTCCTGGTGATCCAACTCAGTGATCAATACTGAACACAGACACCATGAAATTTAGGGAAAATTGGGTTGTCTTTGCTGATCTTTCCAAAGGAGTTTTATGCAGAATAATATAGTGTGTAAGTGTACCTTAGTAGGATAAACAAGAGGCATCTGTGAGTTTCCTGAGCAGGATATTTCTGGGCTTACAGATGTCGAGTATGAGATTCAGCTGGTGGAAAGCGTAAAGCCTTTGTGCAGCCTTAAATACTGAAGGCTGAATTTCAGCCTCCAGGTTCACCTTCAGTAGCTATAACACACACTGCTTTTGTAAGGCTTCAAGGAAGGGGCAAGGCTGGACCTTGTCATTTGTAACCAGTGGAGATAGCATACACTATGCAGACTGGAAGGGCCAACTGACCATCTGCAGAGATGAGGCCAAGAGTAATGTGTCTACAAAACATGCCTGAGAACTGAGGACACGCTCATGTGCAGTTGTGTAAGAGAAGCCCTGAGAGACTATCATTCAGAGCCAGACATCAACCTCCCTTCAGGGTCGCCGAAGACCAGCAGGGGGCGCTGAAGATGCACAGAACACCAGGAAAGTTACAGATGCAGAGAAGGAAGTTGAGTGGGGAGGGCTTCCTGTCACCCAGTATGGTTCCCTTTGTCTCATAAAATAATATAGCCTAAGGAGGTCCTGCAACACATAATCTACCAACTTGGTATACAACTTCCAAGTAATCATCCTCTGATAACATTCATTACACAACTGTGTATTCACATAAATGCTTTCTTCATCTCAGCATGAGTTTCACTAGATGAAAAAATATCATTTCTATGAATATCAAGGTTATCTTGTAAATTTTATGTGTTTTATTTTTTTTTGAATCCCAAATTATAACCATCTGAAACTGAATCTGATGACTTCTCCACATGGCAAGATGTTGACTTATGAAGAAATAAATGCTTCAGATTGGGTAATGAAATCCTTCAGATGTCTCTGCACAAGGTCTGAAAATGCATGGCTCTGTGTTGTGCTAGGCCCATTCAGGAGAAATTTTTGCCAAAATCAGTACCAGCAGCCATTTGGAGAACTGTACTCAGGGGAGAAGGGAGTATGGGAGGCCTGACTGGACTCAGGGTAGAGCTCAATGGCCTTGTGGAACTTCCTCTATGCATAGTAGCTGAACAGGAGTTGGGAACACACCTCCTTTATGAATCTCAGAATCAAGGATGTATGGAGCACAATGTTGATAGCCTACATTTTGGATCTCTCTCTCTCTCTCTCTCTCTCTCTCTCTCTCTCTCTCTCTCTCTTCTGCACAGATCTCCCTCTATCTTGTGTTTCACTCCATAAATCAGTAAAGCAGTGGAGACTCTTCAAGATGAAATACTTTATTTCATAGTATTAATTTTTTATTGATACACTTCCAATAGCTCTTGCTTCATATATTATCTCAGTTCGGTTCTGCATTCACAGTCACAAATATTTGCAACGGAATCTTCACTCTAAACACTTGTGAGGGACCTAAGAATTAGTGTCTGTCGGGCTGTGGAGGACAGAGCAACTGATTGGAGCATAGACCACGTGCACCAATCAATAAGTAAAAATGAAGAAAATGGATAACAATATAATTTCTGTGAAAACTGAATTTTTTTGGTGTCACTGTGAATGAGATACAATCAAAATTAACACAAATGCTTAGACTTGGAAAGAGTTATCATGGTTCACATTCAAGTCTATGCCTTCATGAGGTCAAAAACACAGCCCTAGACCATATATCATAGTTACAGCTTCAGGACCAAGAGGCTCCATGCCAACTAGGTAGGACACCAGCAGTGCAGATGGGTGCTGGCGAAACCATTTTAGGAGGTCTGTCTCATATCAGAGATGTCCCTGGTTCATAGTGAGTCCTCATATGAAATGGTCAGTGTCCTTCTCTTGGAGTCAATAACAAATTTTGTTAACACCTGCTAGAAGTAGGCAAAGGTCAATTCTAGAGCCCTGAGGCTCATGTGGCTTTAATCTACTCAAATTTGATTCATACAGCAGAGACTTCAGGCATTGGATTGATTTTCAGTGAAAGGAGGTCTCCATGTGAGGGTTTGAGGAAGTGCAACGCGATGCATTTCCTCACACAGAATAAGGACATAGATCCCAGGTCCTCACTGTTGTAAGATCCATGGCCAAATACTTCCTGATGCCCAGCTGTCGGAGTTTCAGTGCTAAGAAGTTTCCTTCCTCATGACTATGCAAATAAGCAGGGTCTGCTGAGGTAAATATGGAGAGGTCTGTGCCCAAAGCGTTCCACAGCCATCAAGGTCTGTAGAATTTCCCAGAGCACAGATACTGACTATGGACTGGGCCTGGAGACTCTTCTTCTTGGTGGCAGCTGTGACAGGTTAGAGGATCGCCAGTCTTAGCACCGAGGAAGGCACTGGAGCATGTAAGGTGACACCAACTCCAACTTCTGTCCTCTCTCCACAGGTACCCTCGGCGAGGTTCAGCTGCTTCAGTCTGATGCTGAAGTGAGGAGGCCTGGGACCTCAGTGAAGGTCTCCTGCAGGACTTCTGGCTACACCTTCACAGATTATTACATGTACTGGGTGAAACAGAGCCCAGGACAGGGGCTGGAGTGGATTGGATGGATTGATCCTGAAGATGAAGAAAGTAACTATGCTCAGAAGTTCCAGGGCAGGGCCACCCTCACTGCAGACACCTCCTCCAGCACAGCCTACATGGAGCTGAGCAATCTGAGCTCCGAAGACACAGCTGTGTATTACTGTGTGAAGCACAGTGTGGTAACCACATCCTGAGTGTGTCAGAAACCCTGAGGGAGGAGCAGCTGCATTACTGTTGATAGGACTGAGATGATAAAACTCAGAGCTTGGGTGAGGTAATTAAGGACAGGAATGAGAGGAACGGGTACACACTATACATTATGGGGAATTATCCATGCCACCATCACCTTACATGCAAAATACAGGAAGTAGATACATTTTACAATTGATAAGGTTATCACATACAATGCCATGAGGGGATTTGTATTGACACATATTTCAAGTCAGTTGAAGAAATAACTACAAAGCACGTTCTTCTACCATAGGACAGTGTTCTGTTTAATTTGTGAAAAGTGGCAAGAATCTCTCCCAGAAAGTCTGTTATTTCTGTTTCATAGAATTTCCATAGACTTCAGGTTTACATTTATAAAAGTTTAAGAATGTACAGAGGTTTCCCAGGAATCTCAGCCCAGTCTCACCCACAGCACCCTCCTCTCCAGTCCTTCTGTGTTCCAATGTGGGGGTGTCAGTGACTCAGCATCATCTTCCACGTCTTGGCTTTCACTTGGGTTCACTCCTTGTGGCTGTGCATTCTGTGTGCCTGGAAAAGTGCTTAGTCACTCTTCTCCATCATGTTGTCCAGTGTAAATATCAGGAGCAAGACCTTGTCCCTGGAGGACAAGTGAGGCCTGCAGACAGGGAAGGCTTTCTGCCTAGGACAGAAAGGGTCTGTGCAGCTGAGTGCCAGTGTAGGTTCCAGGAGCCTGTGTTGCCCCTTGGGCTCTTTCCTGAGACATAGTCCTGTCATCTGCTGCACAGGTGTGTTTCCTGATGTTGCAAGTGCTGATTCATCTTTGGCATCATTTTCAGATGTGCAGCTGTGCCTGCACTCAGTATGCATCCAGTAAGGAAAGCTGAAGGGGATGAAGCTGACGGAAGATCCCTTGTGCAGTGTGAGAAAGCAGATGCTCAGCTCAGCTGATGGAACCCATCTGATACTTCCCACAGGGCTCTCTTCGCCTCCTTAAGGAATTCTTCAGGAGTCTCCCACACTGGAGGAGCCATTTTTCATTCCCATCAGCATGGAATAAGATTCCTGCTACCCTTAAATTCCTTGGCCTTTTTGGATGAATATTTTCTTCTTAGATTTTCTGAATGTTAGAAATCTGATCTTATAAATATATACTTTTTCTAAAACCCACATAAACATATGTCAACTAGCCCTACATAAGCGCTTCCATTTATATCATCATTGCATTTTTAATTGTTTTTAATTTCATCTTAAATTTTCTTACTGATATTTTTTTTCTGTATTTTAGGGAAGGGTCTACAGATCAGACATGTAGTGACCTGCCTGTGTACTGTTTCCCAAGAGCTGGGATTACAGGCACACACCACCACACCCAGTCTCAATTGCAACCTCAGCAGGCCCTGGGGAAGGGGCAAGAACAGCAGGCCCAGGTATTGAACCCCCGATCCTTGCACCTTCTTGCAGGTGCTTAGTGATTTTTGCTACAAGTTCTTTATCAGTTCTAGAATTATCAGGTATATTTTCTGAGTCAGTGCCTTTTCTTTTCACTGACTAATCTGTGTTTTTACATAAATATTTTCTAAACTTTGGTACAGTGATATGTGTCACATTTCTCAATGGTAAATGTTATTCCGTAAGAATCATTTGTATTTTCTTGATTACTCGTGGTGGTATGAAGCTACTCATGTATCCGTTCTCCATCAGAGGCTGTCTATTGAGCAATGTCTGCTGGGGTGTTTTGCAATTTTTAAAAGGAACAATTTTATTTTTATCCTAGATTTTCAACTATTATTAAATATTTGAGAAGCAAATATTCTCTCTCTACTTACAGGTGAACTTATCATCTCAGTATCGCTTTTCCTTACTTAACATTATATATATTTCATGGAGTCTGACGTCTATTTCTCTTTGTGTTCCCTCCACTTATGAAAGAAGAATAAATTTTACAGGCATTAGTGGCAATCAGATTATATCTCTGTTTCTTTTATAATTGTTATACTTTTCATTCATATTTTGTTTGATTTTTATGATTGCATGATATAGGTGGCCAAAGTTTATTTCTTTGCATGTACATATCCAGTTTCACTAGAACTTTTTAGAAGGATCTCTCCCACTCTGCCCTCCTCATTGCCTACTGCAGTCAGTCGCCCACATGGGTGTGAAAACCCTGTCCCTGGCTCCTCCCTCCTTGTGCTGCTTCCTGGCTGTCATGGGCTGAGCACCTCTGCTCCCCTTCACCCTCTCCATGCTCTCTTCACCCTGGAACCAACTGCCCTTGGGCTGAACACACTGAAGCTGTGAATAGAAACAAGCTTCTCCTCCTTTAAGAATGGGAATCTGATATTTTACCCCAGTATAGGGAAAATCATAAAATAATAAGAATAGATCATCAAAATAATCTCAAAGCAAAACTGAAATTGTCCTGAATATGTAACATTTGTACACTAAGGGTTCAGTTTCAGCTATGGCCCAAGCCCATACTTGTACAAGTCAAGTTTTAGAAGAGCCAGCCCTGCGGATGCTCTTAGCCATGATTTCCTCCAGGTAGTTCTATTCACTGTAGAGGTGATGGTGTGAGTCACAGAGTCATTCAGTTCTCTCTGTCTTATCTAATACACATTCTCAGTCATTGTGCGTTTCTCAATATATTATGTTATAGAGAAAACTTTTCTGCTACTTTCTATTAAATTATTTTTAATTAATCTATGTATTTGGTAGAGTCTTGCTACACAGCTCCAATTCACAGTGACCCTCCTGTTTCAACCTCCACAGTGCTTGGATTACAGGTATATACCAACATGCCAGGCTTCAGTGGCTGGCTTGGCTCAGGGCCAGCACAGAATATGGTACCAGGATCGAACTCAAGTCCTTGTGCTTTTTAGGCAGGTGCATAGACCACTGGACTATCTCCCTGGCTAAAAGTCTATTCAATTAATAATTCATTCTTTCCTTACTGCTTCTACCTATTTTAAATTATTTCTATTTTTTGTCTTCAATATATATTTTTTATTGTGTTGCAACATGCTTTAAGGAGGAAAGATCATTTTATAATTTGTGTTCTATTTCTTTTCCTTGCTTCTTCCCTCTGTTTTCTCTGTCTTGATTGTTGGCTTTCCACTGTTTTTCATAATGCTATACCACTTCCTACTCCTATCATCTTTGTAATATTTATTGTTTTGCATCTTTTCATACAACTCAATCTAGGTTTCTTACTATGATAACTCATAGTGCAGTGTTTATTTTTTTCTCTGATAATCATTAGTGTTGAGTAATTTTTTCAAATAATAGGTATCTATTTATATAATTCTCTTGTGAGAAATGTCTTAAGATATTTCTTTTTGGGACCGGGGAGATGGCTCAGTGGAAAAAGCGCTTCCCTGGAAAGCACAAGGACCTGAGTTCAATCCCCGGTTCCACAAAAAAAGTTATTTCTTTTTATTCATTATCACCCTTATATTAACTTGTCATTTGTATTCTTAATATAGTCTCATAATAAGCCCTTATCAGATTCACTAAGGGTTTTTATTTCATTTTTATTAGAATACTATTTTTTTGGATATTTGCCTTGTTATATACACTGACAAAAATGCACTCACTGCTGGGGAGATGACTCAGTAGAATAAGTGCTTGCCTGGCAAGTGCAAGGGCCTGAGTTCAATCCCTGGTCCCACAAAAAAAATACATTCACTGATGAAAAATAGCAAGTGTCAGCTCCAGCAATATTTCACATGATAAGAATTATCTCCTTAGGTGGAAGTAATACTCTATTGTTCACTGCTGACAGGGAAGTTGTACCTTCCCCAGTATGTCCTGATAGTATTTTCTCCAATAATCTTACTAGATAGTGTCCTGAACTAATAATGCCTAGGGCAGACTTACACAGATACACGAGGACAAGGAGCCTCTCAAATCCAAACTATTTGAGAAAACTTGGTTATATAAGATCCCAGCTGAAGGAGGAGCACCACACCCATGGACGGAAACACAGTGTGAAAGGAACTGAAGAACTTCAGACAAACCTTGCATCAGGAGGCTAGGTTTCCTAAATGTCCTTTTCCATATCTAGAAGAAGCCCCAGGCTCCATGGTCTGCCCCATTTCAGATGCTTCACTGAAACTGACAGAAAAAAACTCAAAGGCTCTAAGAATATCACACCTTGCTCACTTTCTTCCACATTTCATTGTTGTGCCCGCAGTCTGCACCCACTGCCCCACCCAGATTTCTCTGTCTGGAGGGAGGATAAAGGGTCATGGTATAGGAAAAAGTCCCAGTGCAATTAAGTTTCTCAAGTCAGGTGGTAAAGCCCTCGAGGCCTATTTCTACCTTCAGAGAACTCCCGCATGCAAAGCAGCCTCCTGTTTTATGTTGAAAGCCCAGCCCTAGATTAACGGCCCTAATCTCCTCAACAGCATTTGTCAGAGCATGGAATTCCTGCTGCTGCTCCTCTGCCTGGTGGCATATCCATGCTGTGAGTATCCCAGGGTTTCACAGACAGATCTGGGCATGGAGTGTCGGGTGTATTGAACTCATGGTGATGCTCCTTGTTCCCAGGAGTCCTGTCCCAAGTGCAGCTTCAGGAGTCAGGACCTGGCCTGGTGAAGCCTTCAGAGACCCTGTCCCTCACCTGCACAGTCTCTGGATTCTCTTTAACCAGCATTGATGTCAGCTGGATCCGTCAGGCACCAGGAAAGGGGCTGGAGTGGATGGGTAACATACGGAGTGGTGGAAGCAAAGGTTACAACTCAGCCCTAAAATCACGACTGAGCATCAACAGGGACGCCTCCATGAAGCAAGCTTCCTTAACACTGAGCAGCCTGAAGACTGAGGACACGGCCGTGTATTACTGTGCAATATACACAGAGAGGAGCCCTCAGAGTGAGCCCAATCATAAACCTCCCTGCTGCCTGCTCTAAACACCAGGGGGCGCTCAAGATGTACTGAGCTCCACGACAGCCTCAGGAGAAGGTGCACAGTGGCCTGGGAGGAGAAAGCTTTTACAGTCTCTGGTTCACTCGTGCTGCTCTGGTACTGTTCTAGCATACCTTGTCATTTCATATTCTATTGATTTTTATTTTGTCTTACTTTCTAAACAGTATCTTTTCTACTCAGGATAAATATTTCTTGTTTATTCTCTGGTTCCCTGGTTCCCTCACATTTAAGATATTTCACACAGTACTGAGCCTCTTTGTACTTCTTATTTTTTTGAGCCATACTTTTATTTCAGTTTTTGATATTTCTCTGTACTCTTGTTTTGACATTACTTCCAAATTAACCAAATCACTGAGTGATAGAAAGTAATCAACCAACCAACCAACCAATTTTTTTTTCTTATGTATTTTTTAGGGAAATGTCTACAGGGAGTTCAGGATCTCACTACTAGTTCGGACTCATAGAGATCCGCCTGTTATAGCCTCCCAAGTGCTGGGATTACAGACGTGTGCCACTATGCCCAGTCTCAGTTTGCATTTCAGTGCACCCCAGGGGCAGGGGTGGCACAGCAGGCCCAGGGATCGAACCCCAGTCCTTGGGCTTGCTTGCAAGCCTTTTAATCCACTGAACTATTTGGCCGGCCCTAAGACTGGCATACTTTTTTTTTCTTGAATAATTTTATTGAGAAACAAACAGCAATGAGATAGTTTCAAAACCAATTAACATGACAGTTTCAATAATTAATACATTGCATATTGTGTTCTTAGTGGTTATGCATAGTACAAGATGCAGACCTGTAAGTTCCTGACTGTGGGAAGAGGTCTCAGGAAAGTTTCTATGATGTGCAAAATTTGTATGCACTTGTTGAGCATGTTGGGGGCAGATGTGTGACAACTTTTGCTTGATGCAAATCTACAAAAGTAAAATGAGCACGGAGACATACATGGCTGACTTCTGCAAAAGTGTCCATAAGTAAAGTGTATCTTCATCACTAATATATTCATCTTTGAAATTTGCATAAGTCATATTTTGGCTTCACACAAGAATAGAAAATGATGTTTACTTTCATAATGTCTTTTTTCTGTGAAGTCCAGAAAATAATTTTTTAAACTGCATTTGGTGCATGGTCACAACAGGCAGCTTGGACTAATCCTCATGTTTTCAGCCTCCCCAGGGCTGGCATTACAGATGTGTGCCACCATGTCTGGCCTCTGTGTTGGGCTCAGGGCGCCTGGTGGTGGGGCCAGAAATTGCTTTTACGTTTCAAGGTGAATTCATTCCCCACTGAGGTGGACAACACGGTGGGCATTGCAAGTGCTTCTGTTCCTGGTATTCCCAATCTTTCACATTTTTGAATTTTTTCTTCTCATTTTCATGTTGATGATAGAAACTAAGAACATTATTTAACACTTTTTGCGTTACTTGTGTGTGAGAAGCTCTAAGGTATTTGAGGCAGAGAACGAACATGAGTTAGAGAAGCTTCATCTCTCTCAAGAGCTCTAATCTTTTTTTTTAACATTATTGTTATTTAATAATGTTAAATATATATTAAAGAAGAATTAATACAAGTATTAGTAGTAGTACAAATGTTATACCCCAATTTTTTTTTAAGTTCCGTTGTTGAATATTATAGGTGTGTAAACTCAGCAAAATAGTCTAAAAGAGTACAGAAGCCCATAATAGCATTGGG